TTTAGCTCTGGTTTTGGTTTTATGGCTGGCATAAAGTAACACCCAGAGATTAAAGGCAAATTTTAAGGATGTGATGTTTTGAAACTAGTTATACTAGTTAATATTCTAATATTCCAATGATGATAAAGTACATTTAGAAGCAAGGTCACAGAGGGTCCCTGCAATGGTCTTGCATGGTAAAGTTATAGCCAATATAGCATAACCTGCCACACCAGACAGATAAATATTCTTGCTGAAGTGTGAAATTAAAACATAGCCACAATGTTATCTGTCCACACTTACAAATGGTGCAGCCAATGTTTAGTCAAGCTATTATCATCCTTTGGTGATTCACATCCTTCCTCTCTATTTGCTTTTTGTACAGCAGTATTGACTTGGAGCTGGGGCAAATATTAATTTATGCTAATAGAATTTCAATCAGCAAACATATGGACACTTGCAAACTTCCTTACAAATTACAGATGAAAATAATCTGCATATCTGGTTCTCTGAGTCTCCCCTCAAAACTTGAGCTGTCAGTGGTTCCTTGAGCAAAAATGTAAAATGATAAATTCTTTCCAAGGGCTGCTGCTAAAGGGAGATGGCGTTTAATGTCAAATTACTGATGCACCAGTTGAATCTTGCTCATTAGATGGACTGAGGGGCAAGTAAGCCTCCATCTAATTATTGATTCAAGGGGCAAAGGCGCAAATATCAACAGCATGATAGCTGCTCAATTTTAGCATTTGCTGCTGTTCGGCAAGTTGGCTTTGTAGTTCAACACCGTTATTAAAATGGACAATTCAATACAGAGGGAACACTATTATGCAGCCTCTTTAATACTTACAAACGCATCTGATGAGAATTTCACATGGAGGAGAGGTTACACGTGGGTTACACACACATAGCTTACGGGCACATTGGGGAGCTAATCAGCACAACTCTTGTACCACTGTTGACCACTGCCCTTCTCAAAGATACACAGGTAATCATTCTGTTTTTGGTTTTTTTTTTACGTATTTTTTGGGGCTTTTATATGATAGTGACAGGAAAGGGGGGCAAGAGAGAGGGGGGATGACACGCAGATGACACTCAGACAGGCCAGTGATTCCAATCAAAAGCCCAGCATTCCCAAACATACTTGTCTAACGCTTTAAGCTTCCTTCTCTCTACAAGACACAGCTGCGCAGTCAGCAGTAGTTCGACATTCGGAGACTTAAGAAGAAGGTGAAAGCACAGCAGCTGAGAAACAAATTGCTCTAAAGAAAAAGAAAAAGCGTCCAACATATTCGTAATCAAATTATTTCAGAAACCTGTTACCAAGTAAAACAGTTCTTATCTGAGATAAAGAGAACCGCATGAGAAAGGACAGAGCTAGTCATTGTGCTTGAGAATGAAAGCACAGCATAGATCTGCAGTGCTCCCATACGCATGGATGTTCATATTCATATCAAGTTCCATTTCCATTAATTTTGAGACTATTGGTATTGCCACACTGAGATAACTTATATGAAATCATCTACTCCCTTCATGCTTCAGTGGGGGCCTGGACACAGATTTCTGCTACAGCTGCTGGCCATGACGGTTAGTCGAGCTTTACTAAGACCTAATGCAGCTGCAAGCTTTTGGCTATAAATTTACAACACCTCAAGACTGAGCAGATAAAAGGATGTATTCTTGATCTGTAGGTCACTGCAGCACTGGGTCCATCCATGGTGAAACAAAGCCCTCTAAATCTGGATCTTTACTGGCTGTTTTTACAATTTCATTGTAATTTTTTTTTACTTAATACATGGGACATATATATCATATTAAGAGCTACAAAACCATTCAAACGTCTGGAATTGCCTGCCAGAAAACCTCAGTATTCAGTACTCATTTAGTACTCATTCAGTATAGTTACAAGGCATTCATGCTTTTAGATTGTAGAAAGTCCTCTTTACAAATAAATTACCTTTTGTATGAAGGGTTTTCAAGAAAAGTTGTTTTGTACATGAAAAACTAAACTCTGTACAATGGTTCAACCAGACTGGCAACTGAAAGGACAGAAACAGACAAAGACACCTCTGAGCAACAGTTCAAAAAGAATTTAAGAAATCAGCAGTCATCGGTAAAATAAACTGGAAACTTGGCATCAAAATCTGTGCAGATTTAAATAGTATCAGTGTCAGGTGATAATGCCTAAAACAAGCTGGAATTAATAGATGTGTTAACAAAGCTATTCTTAAACTTCAGGATAGAAACAGAAGGTTGATCTAGGGTTAGCCCTATTGGAATTGGATCACAGAATATCAGCTGAACATACTGTGGACTGACAAATCCCAGTTTAAATCTATTCAATCAATCTAACCACTGAGTAGCAGAAGGCCCTACAAAAACAAGTTTCCAAAATACTCAAAACCTTTTTGCAAGCACTCAATAAAGTAACAGTATTCTCCCATCGTGCGACCAAATGGAGCTTTTAATCATAATTGTTCTTCTTTTAGGGCCAAAAAAATATCCAAAGTAAATAATATATGTGGCGTCTGAATTATACAGTTTTAACTATGTTGAAATAGTCATTATTGAAGGGAAGAAAAAAAACATCAATATAACAGGTGAGTGCAAACTCTTAAATGTTAATGTATACCTTGAACCTATTGATTAAGGCTATACAAGATCAGGTAAGAATAGTCCACACAGTAGTCCTGACTGATTCTCTTATTCATCTGAGTGTAATCCTTTTAAAATTAAATCACATCATAAGTCTAAGCATGAACTGATTTGCTCTATATGAGCTAATTAAGCTGTAAAGTGACACTGACTTTGACAACAAGGAAGCAAATTTGGAAGATGCAATACCAAAAATGTGCAAAGAAATAATCAGTGCTGAGCAGAGAACAAAACCTTACTAGCCACTTGTAAACCTTTGCACTCCAGTGCCAACTTCTCACTCTTCAAAAGTTACTTTTAATTGTTTGACAGCTCAGACTGCTCTTTGTTACTCCCTTTTTGTTGCTCTTTTCTACTTATCTCCTTTCTTTCTTTCAAAAAAGAGAAAAAAGAGTCTTGATCACTTCTTCCTGACACAGAGCACAGGCAGCCATTAGTGCTTGCTACTTTTTTGTGTGTGACTCGTCTCTGTTACTTCTTTATTTCCCAAAGCAATGGAGGATCTGTCTCTCTCACCGGCCCTGGACAGAATACTGCAGAGCATTGCAATTTCACACCCTTGCGACAGATAAATCTTTCTGCTTGACTGGCCATGAATCTTCTAGGGCTGAGTGGCCACACAGTGTGGCACTGTTGCACCTGACGTTAGGCTGCACCCTTTGAAACTTGGGATGCACCTGCGTTGCTTGGAATTCTCTTTATTCTTATGCCATAGGTTACAGTTAGAAAAAATTAAAGGGCCTTCAGGGAACATATCGGGCATCTCTACTCCAAAACAGGGTGAATTCAATTAGCAAACAACGATTAACTGCTCATGTTAGTTTGAGTTTGTAGTGGGCTGCACGTCATGAAATACGAACTAAACTAGCATCTTTTGGATTTACTTAATTTAAATGCAACTCTCACACAATATGCACACGCATACATGCTGACTGTGAGGACATATCTTTAACCTTCAATAAATGAACCTAGTTTCTTTCCAAGCTCACTTTCAACCCTCTTCCATACCCCTCAATCATCAGATGCTATCCCACTGAGCGGGCCATGACAATGGGCTGCCTATGGAGCAGGACACAGACAGAATATCAATGGAGTCTGGCTGGCCTGAGCCATGCTACTCTTCATCTCTCATTTCCCAAATGTGAGCCTCTGGAAAGAACTGGCCCAACCCTGGACTGATGAAGAAATCCTGTAGCAATGCTTTTTAAGTATTCCCTGCACACTTCTAGGGCACAAACCTGTAGCTGTCGGGAACTACAGTACACATAAAATAAAATAGGAGAAGAGAAAGAAAAGTATCAAGAAAAGGATCATAGGATCATATGTTTTTTTCCTGAGCATTGGCCCTGAGAATGCAGAGGCAGATTGCTGCAGATGGGGTTTCTTTATTCATGCCACTCAACAAATTACAATGGCTTTTGTGCTCATATATTTGGCCTGCAGTTTTTTGCTTTATCTTAAAGACAGACTGTAGTCAGGCAAAAGAAGCTCATGAAGTGAGCTTTCTGTGCCCTCAGTTGTTTGGTCAGGATCAGGTGCAATATTTTATACGGCTTTATTGCCTTTTTTGGTTTACTACAAATTGTAAATGATTTAAAGCCGATGCAGGGACTGTAGAGAGATACAGAGATATAAGAGAGCACCGTTTAACTCATTTTGCTTACAGAATAAATGTCATGTTCTTCAATGTTTTATTAATTTTGTTGATTCCTGAAATAAAAGTCAGTCTTATGTGAAGCAACTCCATGTTATAACTCTTACGGCAAGAAATATGTCTAGTTTTGCTTCTGGCTTGGGGAGTTTATAAATGATGGCACTGTCCTAGAGGATCCAAATCACATGTGGTCCTTAAATAGTGGCACTCCGAAAGAAGAATGGCTCACACCTAAATCGTGTCGATGTCTTAATCAGAGTAAGTCGAGGCATGTTATAGTAGCTTTGACCCTTTTCCCAAGCATGCAGCAACACAGACTAAAACACGAATCCCTGAACTATTGATCGTCTCTGAATTGGTGCACATCCTGCAAATCACATTAGCCTTCGCGCGTATGGAGCGCTGTTTCTTCAGAGCGCTTGACGTGTTAAGCGTGTGAATACGGTGCATGGTCCCTGGACAAAGCCGCACAACGCAACACGAGGAATAATCCTCCACTATCACGTTAACTTATGCTTGTCATATATAAATAGTTTTCGATGATATTATTCTAAAGGATCGTGATGGCACCTGCGCGTAACAGGCTCCAATAAATGCTGTCATTTTCCAAATACCAATTGCTATGCGTTCAGAGTAGATTTAGCTGTTTGTCACAACTTCACATAATGTAAATAATCCCAGCAGACTAAAACAACTGACAATATGAATGCCTTACCTCAGGGGCGCACCCGCTGTATTCCAAGTGCACCAAAGGTCATTGCGCAAATATTCAGAGGACAGGATGTAGGAGTGATGAGAAGTAGGTTAGACTGCACAATACCTAATCCTGTTCTTAGTGTCCTTCAGACGTCGTCAACCCTCTAATCTTCAAAGCGAGAGGGGTCGGAGCCTCCCGGGCGCTCAGAGACTCCGTTTATAATCTCACCACTGCCAGTTTATGCGTGTGGCTCACTTTCCCCTGCGCAGCCGGTCAGACAAAGTTGTCCGTGTTTATTTCACTGGCGCAGGCGATCCTGCACAAAAACATGAACGTTTTCCAACGAAACAGTGGGAGAGGTCGGCTCAGTGTTCAGCGATGAAGCCTGTTTTACCATTCCTGACAGGTGGCAAGTCCAACCACCCGCTGAAGAGATTCACACATCATCTAGCGGGATGTGGAGACGGCCGAAGCCATAAAGCGGGCGGATTAACCCATTAGTTGATCCACTCCACCTCCCACCTCCCTCTTCCTCTTTTCTTGCGCTCTGGCGCCACCCAAAGTTGTGCTAGAGAGTTTTTATCCACACGCAGGGATTCCCAAATGTCTTCTTGTCCAACTCCCCTAACAATATGTGGGCCACTTGATAAGATTTTGATTCAGAGACACACTTTCAGGGATGGATTAATTTTATTGAGTTATCATTTGGTGCAGGATTTGGCTTCTGATTTCATTCTCATATTGTTATTCTGTACTGAGAATCAAATGAATTAAATAGCAGTGAAATGGAACTAATCCAAATCCTTCTGGAGCCCCACTGAACGCCCTCAATATACAGCTGGATATATACATCAGGCTACAGCTAGTTCTTGTTTGGAACCAGTTTGTATGCTGTCAGTTTGCCAGTCAATAGTTCTTCCTGTCATTACAAAGCCTGCATCATCTGACTGTCACACCCGCACCTGTTCCAAATTCCCTAATCAGCTCCCCAGCACATAGGCTAGCACTTTGACTCATTTCTCAGCCAAGTCCTCTTTGTGGATTAGTCTCCATTTGTTAATCCTGTTGGCGAACTATGTTTATTCTCAATTTCTGTAATTGGTATTGGAGGTAGTGCAGCATTACACCTCCAGAATCCCTAATATAAAGTTTATAAAATGTCTAACAGAGAGTTAATCTCCTCTGGGGTCTAACTGACCACAGACATACAGTGAATAGTGTCTCTCTGTGGGACAACATACTGTACACGTTTTTTTGTTTCTCACAGACTTTCAGCAAACAAATGGATATATACAGTTTTTGTCCATAACGTACATGTAACATGTAAAACATCAAATATGTACTAATAACCATTTTTCATGGTCATTTTTGTATTTTGTCACCTTCATCAAATGTGCAAGCCCAGTTTGTTGCAAAACTATATTGGTTTTTAATAGGGTCAGAAGAAAAGGGGGAAACATATATATATATTATGATTATTTTCATTACAAAATGAGGAAGTACAGCCAAGGTCAACTAAACCTAAGGGTTAAAACCAGTACCTGCAACACTGAGCCTTTACTTTGTGATTGTTTATTTGACTCCATAGATTTGACATTTCCAGTTAGTCTATTGGTTTCTTGCAGAAATAACCATACTGCATGTCTGTCTGCTGTTGCTTCTGGGAGGTAGAGTAAATCAGGCTCTATAAACACTCCTCCATAGCCCAGAGCAAATTATAGCTGCCTATGGGAACATTATGACATTATAACTGACTTATGTTAAAACAGAACTGTGTTTTTAGTGTGCTCTGCATAATATCTATCCATCAGACAGGACTGAAAAGATCAGTTGTGATTTGTCTATTTGTTTCTGTCATTACTGTAAATCTCGCTAAGCAGAGTGAAAACAACCTCAGTGTCAAGCGCATTACATGTAAGTGCTGAATCTGCATGAGACTATAGAGTATATATAAAGTGCCCACATGTAAGTCTTTCCCATTCTCATCCCACACTGATCCCATGTAAGCTCTGATCTGCAAATCCCAAACTTCAGACCTGGTATATGCAAATACATCAGCATTTTTCACACTTTCTTTTCTCAACTCTTCCATGTCTTATTGCAATAGAGAAGATAAGACATAAACCTAAAATTAAAGGCTTAATGGTCCAGTGTGTAACATTTATGAGCATCTACAGGCATTAATGGAATATAATATCCCTAGGTATGTTTTCATTAGTGTATGATCACCTGAATATAGAAAGAGCCATTTTTATTTACATAGTGAGCCACCATTCACCATTTCTCCATGTGTAGTTGCTTGTTTTCAAATGGTGGCAATCTGCAACTTTATTGCTAGATCCCACTAATTCCTACACACTGGTCCTTAAAGGGAAATATCAGAGGTTAATTTCAAAATAAAAGCAAATCATTTCTGTTAAATGCAATTTTAATGTCCATCTGATTCAACACTTTTTATTTGTGGTCTTCTGATTCTACCTAATTGTTCTTCAGCCATAAGCACTGATCCTGTGGATAATTGTGTCATCTCCACCAATAACATCTCAAATGAGGAGATGGCACCGGTCAAATGGCCTCTCCACACTGGATCAGACCAGTCAGACCTATCTTGTAATAAATATGTAGTGTTAGGAATCTTCACATAATATGAGGAGGCTTAGATCTCGGAGAATTATTTTATCCTTGTAATTTAATTTTGGTAGTGTTACAAACCTACAGGCACTAACTTGATTCCCTTTCCTCCTTTTAAAAAATGTAATATAAACCTTCTCAAAAACTGCTGTAAAATACCTGTTTCTGCTTATTGTGTATTGTACTTGTAAACGTTCAGAGAGCTGCTTCCTTGAAAGATGTTGCTGTGTTCTTCCAGCTTGTTCTACAGTGCAATTAACAGCCTGGATGTTGGCATGTGGAATGAAAGAAGACAGATTACTATGTTACATGATTGCCTTGCACATCCAAACATTTGTATAGTATCATCTCGCTCTGGATATGAGGGATATATATGAGAATTGTTGTAGTGAGGATAAATTCACAAACTCTTTCCCATTTCATTTGTTCCTTATCACCATATCACCGTTGTTATATTTATGATCTTCTATTCTCATTATGTATTTTTGGACCATGTCACAACCTAGGGCCTTAAGTAATTTGTTATTACTTATTTTTCAGAAAAACAAAAGTTAATGAAAAACTATTTCACTAGTTCGATAAGTAAATTAACTGTTAAAACTGTTAAAAAATGTCTCTTAACTTGAAAATTATTCAATATAAATCCTAATCAAACGCACGAAATAGAAATAAACCCTAATCATTTTCCTGCACAGTGTCTTGCACACCAAATTACTGAATCATGTAAAACCTCCACTAATAACTCTGGTAAAATTGCAAACCTAAAATGGAGGCAGTCAAGCAACGCAACACATGCACATCTGAGATTCACATGCTTCTATTACATCTATTATCATGTCTGTCTGATAAAACGGCAGAACACCAAAATGTTAAAACTGTCCCACATTATTAGCACTGTGGGACATGAAACATATGAAATACTATTTTATTTGCCGTTTTGATACTGCAGCAACCAAGACCCAAGAGGGTCATGGTTTCAATATTTCTTTCAGCAAAAGCAGACCATGTAATAACTTACTCTGCTTTCTCATGTTCCCACGTACATTAAAGAAAAGATGAGTCGTGAGACACCTATACTGCCTTGTGGCCTTGACTAACTTTTACTTTGATATTTTGCAGATCATGATATGAGGATAAAAAGTTAATAGAATAAGCTACACTGTTTGGGTCATAGGAAAAGCTACCACCCATATATATTATTTTATCTTATCTCATTTGATTTCATTGCATTACAGAATGTAGTCTTTAGTAAAATATGTATTGTTTTATGTTAATTGTAATGTTAAATGTGTTTGCGTGCCAGTAAAGGGAGAAAATACTGTGCAACAATGACAACCAGACTGCAACACACATTAATTTCAATTTCGAAGCCTCTGATATGGAATTATTGTAAAAATAAATAAATAAATACAATAAACAGTGCAGCACTGTTATATGAAAAGGTGAATAATGACCCTTTACCTCCACAAATGTGCTGCTGTCTCCCATCTGTGAACCCCTGGGTGCTGACAGATTCTCGCTCAATTTAGCACAAGAGGGAAGCTGAGGAGCCCCTTCAGCAATGGACACCATATACACTGTGCCTGACAGTATGACTGAAAAAGTCCAAAGACATGCCTGACATTATACTACGTCTGAAAGATTTGTGAATTTCAGGTGGGAATGTCATTACAGCTTAAATGGCATATTTGAATCTGAGACAGGCATTAAAACAGCTTATGCTTCTCTACATAAACTAAATGACTAAGCTCAATGCCAGTATTGAATGTAATTAATCAGCTGGTAGAAGCTGAAGAAGCCTTATTATGCAACGCAAGCTCCTTCTCATGAAAATGGTCCTTGGGGTGTCCTTTATCGATTTTCAGGTAGGTTGGAATCATTCGTCCATAAACACTGAGCTTAATCATAATAACTCAATCCGTCTGGTCCAATCAGGAGTTTGGCCAATGACTGCAGAGAGATGTTTAATCTAATTAAAATCCATTTGTGGTTGTCTGACAGATCCATTAGCCAACAGATTTAAAGGCTATAGTATTGTTGTTAAAGCACAAACAATAACAGATATTTCAGGGGGAATTAGCACTAAATGGCTCAGCACGCAGCACTTGGCCAAACCACAAATCTCACAGTAAGCTCTCGATGAATAAAACATGTGGATTACATCAAAGAAATGTTGAGGTTTTTGTCTTTAAGAAGTCACTGTCTTTCCTTGTTATGCAGATACAGATGTCAGATCACGGTCTCTTTTACTGTGCAGTAACATTTCTTGACAGCTTGAATGATTCATAACACTCCACCAGAGCTGTACATCCATCTGACTTTGTATCCAGAGCTCATCTGATTTACATAAGGAATATTACTTTGACTCTTATTTTTCTGGCAATATGAAACATATTCACAGTCATTTCCACATACTGTACACCTCGTCTATTGTAACATGTGCCCTTGTTGTTTCTATCCTTGTTAAATGAGTGTATACATCTTCTCTTTCACTTTTATTTTTAAACACAGTTTGATATCCGGTTGTCTGCAGTCAAAAAGTGTTGGCTCTAAGTTTTATTAATGTGCATGAATGCCACTGCAGTTAAGCAGTTAATTAATCTTCATGGCAGGACATAATTTTTAATTATTTAATTGTGCAGGCGTCTGTTTATTAATGTCAGAGATTCTACAAAAATTGCTATTAATTAAAATTTTGTAAAATATTTATTGATTTATTGCATTAATTAAAAAAAGAAGAAGAAATGTTTTTATTGTTTAAGTTTAAGAACAACCATCCCTCAATTAGTTTTTTTTTTTTTTTTTTTAATTAGGGGCAAGTTGTTATGCAGTGCTT